CCTCCTTCTCCCTCTTCTATTGGAATGTTTTCATCAAACTCTGCCAACTCTGCAGCCATTTCTGCTTTAGCAGTCTTGGCTGCCTGGACATCGGTTTCATCTTCAGCGGCAGCTAAGGCAGTCTCAAAGGCTCCCATCTTCACTCTTTCTCCCTCCGAAACTTCCTTGCCCTATTAATAAAAAGTAGAATGTGTACAATTCATGAAATTTAAGAAACTTCATGTACATTCTATAAATGTAATAAACATCTGATACATGTTTAACCAATATTAAATAAGCAACATTGATGCATCATTTTGACTTGTATGATCTTTCTGTACTAAGGTCTGTATTCAACTTGTTAATGAACATAAACTGAGGGCAATTCTTAATGTTTTGATAAACATATATTTGATCCAGTCATGCAAAGAAAACAAGAAATAAAAAGAAAAGAAAAATCCAAGTATTAAGCCAGAGTTAAAGGTGTCTCACCTCCTCTGTAGATTTGTTCTTATCTATGACTTCTGACATTCTCTTTGATGCATCATTTTCATTCACATTCACATCAAAGAGGTCCTGTATGGTTGCCTGAAAAATGTGAAGGTCAGAATTAGCAATGAAATAATCTGTATTACTTGTATACTGTAATATGAGGCCGCTAAAATTGGAGTGATGCACTCTCCATCTCCTAAATTTTCTTTTATTTCATCAAACGTTTTTCCTTGGCTTCAAGTTTCAAACTGTATAGGACAGTTCATCAAATGCACTCATCTTCCTGCAATTTATTCAGTGTCCCCCCCTCGTGGAAATAGGTTTATTCTAGGCGTCTTGTATGTAAGATGATAAAATTTGGATGTTATGTTATAATCATCTTCTGTATAGTTTCCTCCAATTATAGGGAAACATTATTGTCTAAGATTAGTTTAACTCATTAAAACCATTTTCTTGAGCAAATTAAGTCTAGATTTTAACTTGGTAAGTAAGCTATTGTGAATGTGTCAGGGCATGGAGAAAAATGACCAACAAAGTACAGTAGTACCTCGATATACCGGACTAATTGGGGCAGACCCCAATCATGAAAATGCAAAAATTTGAAAAAAGGAAACCCCGTTTATCTAGACTGATGCTTTGCTTGGCCTTTAAATTCTTAAATTTGCTCTATTTTTACCACAAACAGGGTAAGTCTTTTATTCTCTTATGAGAATACAGGTAATATAAGTGTGTCATGAGTGTGTGTGTGTGTATATATATAATACATATAATATATATACAGTGTTGTACTTTGACGCCGTTAATTTAAAGCCGTCAATGGACGGCAGCAACTTTTTGTTAATGTTGACACTGACGCCATCAATATTTTGGGCAGGTGACGCAGTCAACTTTTCACCCGAGCGAGCGTGAAGCGTCACTTTGTTCGTCAATTTCTAATTTTTTTTTATTTTTCCAAGTTCGATTTTCAATTACAGGTATCTTGTTATAAAGACAACCAGGAAAATTTTTGCCTCGCCTGCTGCCCCCGCACCTTTCTACAGATTCACTCGTTAACCGAATCTATTATTTCAATGGGATATTGGGCAATTGGTTCCAACTCACAGAATTCCCTTAAAATGAATTAAAAAGTACATACAAAGTACTGTATACCGGTAATAGAATTAACAAAACATTAAATATAAACAAAATACAGAACTGTACAATAATAAATCAAAAACAATAAAACATTTTAACAATTTGAGGTGTGGATGTAGAATTCCCGGTGACTTTGTTTACATAGCAGCAGCTCAAACAGCTGATTGCAGACACAGTCGATGACAACATGCCATATTCTTTACAGAGTGGATTGGTTCTAATGCCTTCTTCGTATTTCTTAATAATTTCTTGTTTCACTTGAATCGAAATCGCCTTCCGAGATTTCTTCACACCCATGCTTGATAATATCACCAATAAAATTTTAAGTTCAGAACAATTTATTTAACTAATTCCAGATTTTTTTATTTAAACCAAAACTGCACTGTACATTATCAATATGTTAACTAAATTTCCAGAATGACCAATAATTTTAATGTAAAAATGCAAAAGTATTCAAGAGCACAAATTTCTCGATGTTTACTCCACTGGAAACAAAGGTAAACAGAGAACCGATTATTGACGGACGAGACAATCAGCTGATGCGCGCACCAAAATGTGTTTCTCGTAAGGCTGTCGTTAATAGAACTGAAAGTCCTTACGGGAGGTAACCCATTAACCGAAATCACGTAAAATGAACCGCTCGTTAATGGAGGGTCCACTGTTTTCACTTTTAAATGATTAAATTTCTTACCTAATTTCCTAAGTTTTATTCCTTAAAACCGAATCTTTTATCCTTTCCTCTTTGTCTAAATGCGTGTTATTCTCAAGTATCATAACAAAAGAGACCAGTCTAGACATCAATACAAGTTCCATTAAACTCTCGTTCCCATCATTGTGTACTCACATTAAACAACTCTCCTTATTTTCTTACTTTCTCTGAGGTTTGTATAACCCTTGATCCACCCTATTAAGACACTGAGTAAAGATGATATATTGCAGGATAAAACTTCCTTGTACATGAGGTAATATACTGTATATTAATTTCATTCTACTGAAAAAGATATCAACATAGCCATGAGTACTGAACCCTTAGGCCCCGAGTGACATTCCAGAACGTCCGCCTATTCCCGCCACTCCATTTATTTAAAAAAAAAAAAAAAAAAATTAAGTTGATTTTGTCTCCTTGATTTTGTCTCGATTTATCCCCCGGGGGTGGGGGGGGTTGTTACTGCCAGCAGCACCCTAACCCATGGCTTAAGGATTAACAAACACATCCTTAATGAATTACAGGAAACCAGCAGTTATCTTCGGCGATACATTGCAAGACCACTGTTTATAGATATCCTACCTTTTTGAAGTGTGCAGTGGTGAAGTTACCGCCTTCAATAGCCAGGTCACCCAGGAGGCGCTTCTGATTGGCCTTTTTTAAAATGTTCTCTTCTATGGTCTTCTCTGAGATGAGACGATAAATGTGCACGTCTCTAGTTTGTCCAATTCGGTGACATCGATCCTGAGCCTAGAAGAAACAAGATGAATAATAGTAAAATGTTTAAAGTAATTACTACCTTCTCCTATCATATACGGCACTAATATCTTTACTCATTTATAGCAAAATGGAAATGAAAAAGTAGGAGATTAAACAAATACTAATACAGTAATGTATAAACTTGAGAAGAGTTTTAAAGATCAACCAGAAAATAATAAAAATATATATTGAAATTCCATACAAAAAAATTTTGGTATAGTAACTTTTAAGGTTGTCTTAACTGTTAGGGTTGTATGTTTATAGGTACCTGGGCATCCATGGTGGGGTTCCAATCCGAGTCGTAGAAAATGACTGTATCAGCTCCCGTGAGATTCACTCCAATACCTCCAGAACGTGTTGACAGTATGAAAGCAAAGATTCTCTTGTCTTGGTTAAATCTTTCCATCAACACCTGCAATTAAAAAACCTTCAGTTGCCTAACTTCATTTACAGGAAAGTTTACCATATAACTCTTGAATATTAACTACAGCATGGGGGCAGCCACACATACATCTAGAGCAATTAAAACTCCAATACTGTACTATATAACAGTATGAAATCAACAGAAGATACAATCATGCATATCTATTTCTTGATAAACATAAATACAAAATAATAGAATACTGTCGAGTACTGTACTGCACCACAAAACCTCCCTCATTTAATGTCTAGTATTCAGCAAAGTACATTTGGCAAAGCAAATTAAAAGAATGAGACAGTGAATGAGGAAGACAGTGGTGGATCAAGGAGAATTGAAGGGGTTTCAGCCTTTACCTTTTCCTTATGTTGCTTCCACCCCACTAGAAGGGGAATCTATGTTGGCACCCTGTGTTGTGGCAGGAAAAGTGTAAGTGTAAGTGTGTGTGTGTGTGTGTGTGTGTGTGTGTGTGTGTGTGTGTGTGTGTGTGGAATTGCACCTATTCCACATTTTTCTTCTAAGTATGGAAGTAACCTCCCAAAACATTCAGTTACTGTGAATTCTTTGCAGTGATCAACCCCTCACAATGCACAAACAGGTAAAATCAAGCTCCTTGAACTTGTTAGAAATGGAAGTCAGTTTCTTAAGTGAATGCCGATGTGCCTGTGAGCATGTAAATTAAACAGGTGATTAGGAACTTTGACTAAATAACATTGATGTGAATTTACCTGTCGTTGGTCAACTCTGGTTGTTCCATCCAGCCTCAGGTAAAGGTGACCATGATAATTAAGGAAAGCCTCAAAAACATCCAGCATTTTTGTCATCTGAGTGAAGATTAAAGCTCTGTGATTACCAGTCTTCAACTGCCGCAACAGGCGGTCCAGCGTCTGTAACTTGCCTTGAGGGTGGGAGAAAAAAAATATATAGTTAAAATGATTGTTCTGATACACAGTATATTGCGCATAAGATTGTATTAATACATAATATTCCATCATTCAGATGCAGTGTGGCAGATGCATAATGCAGTAATAATACCTAAGGAACAATAAAGAATTCTTTACTTAAAACAGTAGACACACTCACACAGGTTCCAAAAGTTTGTGTTACTGTTTGAACTGTTGATAGATAATGGTCGACCCCTGTATACCTTGGCTGGTCCCTCAGAGCCTCATTTCTGATCATATCATAATAGATGACACATGTGCTTTTATTGTTAACCCCTATCAAGGCCCATCCTGCTTCCCACTCCATAATATAAGACAGCTACAAAAATTAAATAACATCACCAGACCTGATGGATGAGTGAAGTGGAAGAAAATACTGATGGTGATGGAAAAAACTGAGTCAACTCCATTACAAGGAATTGTGAAACACTGAGAAAACATAGTAGCTACTGTATAAATAAAGATGACATCAGACAATTTTTGTGCCTCATAACTCATAAGTATAAGGAGCTGTGAGATGACATTGTTTGTGAACTAGAGACCAGCCTGTGAATATGTTATCTGGGTGTCAGTGGCGGGTCTCATTTATCTCCCACATCATTCTATAAATTGTTGCCACACCTCACTACTTCCTTTGCTCTACGCCGACTTTTATTTAACATTTGTTTTATATAGTAATCTATATCTATTTAATTTGTTTAAATCCATTTAAATATTTAGCAACAAAAATATTAAATCAGAAAATTATGCACACTCCAAGCAAACCCCAGGTGGGAACCACAACATACAACACACCTGGGATAACACGGATGTGCTGACCCACACCATACCAGTGAATTTTTCTCTCTCAAACGCACGCACGCACGCACGCGCACACACACACACACACACACACACACACACACACACACACACACACACACATGCACACACACAGAAAAGTGCATATGGCTTGCTCAACCCACTGCCCTACAAGGTTTAAAAGGCAAGGAAGAAACTTAGCTTCTCTCAATGTAAGTACAGTATTGATATTCATACATGCGATGTGTTGCCTCAATGAAGATGGCAACCACAAAGAGGAAACCATGACTATGAACTTGCTCTATGTCTTACATAAAGATATGAAACATTGTTGTGTGATTCATGACTCCTCTGGCTTCCAGCCTTCACTGGCAACTGCAGCTTCTCCCCTACCCAAAATATTTGGGCTACAGTTGTTGGGGTGCACAGTACACCAATTCCCCCATTAATGTCATTTCAGTAAACGTTGTTTCATTATAACCCTGTGAAAAAATAAAATAAAATGTAAAAAAATCTAAAAAAAATTGGTACGAATGCACTCAGCGCCTGATTGTGATAACAGCTGGCTGTGAAAGCGACCAGTGCGGGTGCCATATTTGCTATTTATTGTTTGGCAGGGGTAGAAATTTGCCCCTTTTTCAGGTAGCCAGCCAGGCTAATAGAACTGAATAGTTACGAGCCCTTCCCAAAGTTTATTAGCCCTTCCAAAATTTTACGACACACAAACACACACAAAAACAGTATAGGGGGCCCTCCAACTTTGTGGATTTTTATTTTGCGGTCCTCTATTATTTGCGGATGACACCCTGGATATACCCAAGAATGTGTGTGGGTGGTTTGAAAGTTGCCGGCATTTTCGCGGCTGGGACAGGGAGCCACATTCTAGAGACAGTAATTTCCTTTAACTGTATTGTAAATATGTGTCTGTGTGTAGACACACACACACCGGCTGCAACTCTATTAATAAACCGTTTATTATTATTATTATTATTATTATTTTAACTTTAATTTCAAAATTTATAGCATTACCTACCATTATGAGCAAAAGCTTTGGCCTCTACAGCAGCTAGTCAAATTCTGCATACCATGACGTCTGAAATGATCTAGATCGTGCTGATTGTTCATATTAACGCTGCTGCTCTATTTTTCTTTTTTTTTTTGGTTGCTTGGTGGTGGATTAACATTCTACCACATATCATACAATCCCCTTTGGCAACTGACGATGATTAAGAATAATGTCTGTGTTAGTTAGACATCATGTCAATACAGGACGGAGGTATAAGTGGCACTGAGATCGCCGACTCCATGGGAGCAGCAGAGCGCAATGACCAAGTACACGGGTTCACGTGTACAGCACACATTTGCTCTTGCAATGCTTTTTATAAAGTGGGCACTAAGCACTTCCTATGGTAAAGCACTGTCAAAAATTAAAAAAATTGTTCAAAACTACTGGATAGCTCCTAGACACTGTGAGTCTTACATGCTAGACGCCTGCTGGGCGATTAAAAACCAGTAAATTTCTAAGACCTACTCGCCTTTCTGATATTTTGGTCGCATGGGGCAGCTGGGAGTATGTGAATTTCTACTCCCGTTTGGTGGTTGGTTGATGCTCTTCCAACATTCACTTAAAATCCAATTATAAATTTATTTGAGCCCAAGAACAATGAGTGCTAAATGTGCATTATGCACCACTGATGTTTGTGGTCACAGAAAGAAGAGGAAAAGTGTTACATTAGAAGTTAAATTATATGTGGTAAAGAGATTTGAAGGACAGTGAGCTGTGGACATAGCAAGAGCTGTCGGTTTGCAGTCTACAACTGTAGGTAAGAGATTGTAAGAGTATGGAAACACAGAAGAAGGTAGAGCATTCCACAATTTGGCTGTGTGTGGAAAGAAGGATGTACTATAACAGGTTATTAAAGTGTGACCGACATCCACAAAGAATCGGTGGGCATCACGGGCAAGACAAGGGTTACAAGCCCACTGCCTTGTCGGTGGTACACAGGATGCCAAATCCACCGAACATTGCCCATTAAAGTACCTGTAAAAGAGAGGGAAGCAACATTGCAGCAAAGAGAAAGGGGAGAGAGATTATTAACTAAAGGAGGAGAGTCAATAAGACGAAATACTGTACCTTTGATTCCCCCCTATCTAACAGTTGGACAGAAGAAGAGCCAGCACTCCAAGTTACTTGGTGGAGTCCAATGTCAGCCACTTGTTTTGGATTGTTCAATATTCTTTATTCTTACATCACCAAACTGAATAGCAAACACTCATGGTTTCTGTTTATCATCAAAGCCTTGATCATATTATGAGTCTTTTAACTTTAAAATGGTCAAATAAGATAAGGAAATAATAGGCTTACCTTGAAGAATGAAAGGTGTGTTCTTCATCAAGAAAACCATAATACTAATATCGTTGATCAAGAAATCTGATCAACTATAACACATTGCGTATGTTCTTTCAGTACCACAACTGCTAACACCTAAATTAATAGGAGTTCAAATCCCTTTAAATACCCCATCAATTAACTACTGTATACTACAAAAATATGTATCTCTACTAATCACATCTGGAGCTAGTGGTTTCACGCAACAACGCTCCAACAAGTTAATGGTAAACTAATACTTTGTCTACACACTGGGGAACTTTTGGGATGGGATACAGGAGCATATGAACCCCTGATCTTACTCACCTCGACATAATACATGATTCCTTTCATTCTTCAAGGTAGGTTTATCCATAGCAGTACCACAACTATGACCGATGAGACAAAGCACCCAGAACCTAAGAAACAAAACACTAATACAGTGCTTGGAAAGGCACGTGTTATAATTTGTCATTTACTGAATGACTTTTTTCATTTTCCCACCCTATACTGAGTCGCACCTTTCATTTTTTTTTTTGAAAAGAAACTTTTAATCAAATACATTTTCAACCTTATTTCACCACAAAACTGGCAGCATATCCAGTTATTGAGACAGTTTATCTCTAGATTTTCATGGTTCAAGTGTCAAAATGCAGGCCACTGTCTTCCCATTTTCACCGCACAATTGTGGTGGACGTGAGGTGTCAGGATAACTGCCCTTGTGGGCCTGCAAGCATCAGTGTGTCCCAAGGATTTACAGCACACAGAGGCTACCTGCCTCTTCATTATAATCACTCGTATTTTCATATGTTGTGTTAGATTCAACTTTCTTTGTATAATAGTTCTGTAGAACAATTATATGTGAAGAAATACACATTTAAAAAACAAAATACGATGGAAAATAAAGTCAGAAACAAAAAAGAAATGCAAACATTTACACTGCAACTGTCGTCAGTTGATCACGCCCTGCTCACCTTGGGTGGGGCACCGAAAGTATTAAAATGATCAACTAACATACGGACAGAAGCAATGTTATATGGAACCCATTTTCACAGAGGTTTTCTTACATTACACCCCTGGAACAGTTTAAACAAGTCTGCATAATCAGTACAACTAGCTACACATGTACTTAAGAAAACAGAACTGGATACCGTTAAACAACCATGTGTTTTCAAGTACTCAGACATTTTCTTCCCTATTAGCAGAAAATTTGCCCGAGCAATTATAACCCCAAATTCACTTCAACACTTGCAATGAGGAACTGATGAGATTAATAATAGACTTACCAGCATTTATGTGTCTCTAAATAAACATTCTCCACTTACCACAGTCATACTGGATAAGTCTGGGATCTGGGAACTGTGTGACTGCCGCATTCATAATGTGATGGAGAGGAGATATGGGGCGTGATAGGAGTTTTTTCAGTAAAGATCTGGTTCTCTCTTCTGTCCAGAGTTTAGATGGTGATGGGTGACTCATTCTCATGGTTACACGAGGAGCCACGACTGATGGTATACAGAACACGTATCTGTCGGTGATATCTTTCAAGTCCCTTATATAGGTTTCTGGAGTATGGACTAGTCTGTGGAGGGTGTCTGTTTGAGACCAATAAAGACGGGGCCTGAACTTAGTTGCGTGAAGACAATCCACTATTCCTCTGCCATTCCACTCTTCATTACCACTGGTGGTCCCATTACAGGTATTAATTACAGAGACAGCCTCTATCAGGTCTGAACCATATATGGGACAGGCTTGACAACGTCGCGTATTTAACCGGGATATGAGGCTAAGTTTGTCTTTCCTTCTCTTGCGTCTTCTTTCTTCGAGGTCATTCTGTAAAGTGAACATAGGTAAAGATATATAAAAACAGCTAATAGTACTGTGATTTACTCATTTCTACTTGTAATGAATTTCTCATTTTAAGATACCATTATGAACAGTCAACTTAAATGAGTGTCTCATTAAAAATATAAGAACCATAAAAGCTTGAGAATAAGTTAATCAAACTAAGCCTGGGGAGTTAATGTTTGTCTGAATGCATTTTTTTCCCTAATGCTGTCAGATACTTCCTATTATATTGAAGGGTGGCATGAATCAAGTTAAACAGCCACCTTGTACATTCCTTCACTCACACTGCCAAGATATCCCCATTAACTACTCAATCTTTCATGTATTGGGATATACTGTACGTATTTAAAATTTTTGTATAAATTAGAAAATCAGTCCACAATTGAAGAAGAAACTTGGGCAAAATTATCAATGAAATTCATGTAGGTAGTTATATTATGAAACATGAAAAATTCACCATTCCATAAACTGGCAGTATTTTAACATTCCATTTTCCTCTAAAATCTAACAATTATACCAAAATACAGCGCAACTGGCCATAGTTCTTGTTGTTGCCACTATATTATCCATTATTGTAGTAAACCACATTCATTGTGGTAGCACTTGTCATATTATTGACAAATTTGAGTTTTTCTGCTTTCACAATGGTTTCTAGTAAGAGATCACTGCCAAATGATGAATGTAATTGCGCTACAGTTATAAAATTCAAACATTCTTAGCTTAAAACCATGAAAAAATGAAATATGACCAACAATCAGTGCACGTAAAAATTGGTAGGCTATTCAGGTACTAAATGACAATCCACTATACATAATACAATTTATCACATTCAGTATTAATCACCTTTTAAGCATAAATCACACCAACTGAGATCACATGCATGAGAGGGTTTACTGTACAAATGTTTTATATTAACAATGTTGGGGCCTTACTGCTAATTGCTCCTGTAGTCTCCCAAATCTTTTTAAACTCTACTTAATGAAAATTTCCATCATCAATTACTCTGCTATTGAGAGGTTTAACTGTACATGAAGGCATGTATGACTCAATATCAAATAAAGCAATCAAATAGACCCAAATATACATAACATACACACACATTATCCTTTCCTTTATCCACACCATTATAAAATGAAGACTTGCCAGCATAAATTCACCTCACAAAAACATGATAAGCTCACCACCAGACACTATTTCTCCATTCTTTCCTTACTTAATTACCCCACTTTTCCCTCCCTCCCCTCAACAGATTCACCATTGAAAGACTAATTTGCTGTATCAAGTGCTAACCAGGGGTCTGCTCTGGTGGTATAGAAATACTGAGAAAATGGAAATTAGAGCATCAATGTGCAGCATACAGTACAGTATAGTGGATTTTTGGTGGGTGGGGGGGGGGAGCATATTGCTGAAGGGTAATGATGGCATGTGTGACATAATAAAGGTGAATCAGATTTCGGGCCTTCTTACTGGAAGGGGAATACCATAATGCTATAAAAAAAAATTACAATAGTAACAATGAAAGAGAAAATGTGTAAAAGTATTTTCTTTAGTTTTTGGCCACCCTGCATTAAACTTAAAAAAAAAAGTACAATATCAAATAATATAAAGTTCTTACCAAATAGAATAATGTTCTTTTTCGTTCCTCTTCCTTCTTCTTCTCATCCTGACGTTCAAGCTCCCTTTGATCAATCCTTGTAGTGGGTTTGGTGGGAGTAGTATTAGGGGTGGCTACCCGGGCAGCAGGCGAAGAGGGACCTGCTCGTACTGGACTAGCCACAGGAGTTGTCTACCAAAAATAATAAGAGTATTGTCAGTGTCTTTTATGGATCATAACTGCAATTCCATGAATAATCATGACTACCATAAACTACTGTATCTAAATTTGATGGCATCAAAGACTATACAGTAACTGAAATTATTAAGATAAGAAAATTATCCAATAATCCCCAAAAGGGCTTACTTAAAGATACTTTCAAACTAAAACTGAAATAAAATATATGAAAACTTAAAAAGAACTTTGTCATGATTTACCTTTCCTTGGTTAGGAATTCCTCCAACAACACTAAACAAGAATTTGTCATAATACATTGTCCATAATACACTGTCATATAAAAACTTAAATAAAGTACAGTAAATTAATCGAGTGTGTGGAAAGTTAACAGATAGAAGGATTGGTCCTTGTGATGTACCTTAGCAAATGTAAGTAAAAAACCATAACTCTTAATTTACTTGGATATGCTGGAGTCAATAATCCCAAGGAACAAAATATCATAATACTGTACTGTACTATTCTTTATCAAAGCAAAATTGATAACAATCAACTGAGTAAGACCATGTTTGACATGATCTACTTAAATTCATTGAATATATGGGATATAAAACTAAAATTACTGTACTTTAGCTAGCAATACCAAGCATGAATCATTCATGACACATTCTTATCCATTTCCACCACAACTGCAGCAGAAGGGAGTACAGTAAATAAATGTAAAGAAAAGCATGTAAACAAGGCTGTGGGCAAAACTCACTTGGGGAGGGACAGCAGGTGAAGGAACACGAACTGTAGCTGGATTCGACTGGTTATTACTGACACCTAAAACCTGAAAACAATAATTAAAAAATTATAATTTTTTTATACAGTGATCAATTATAAAGCAATATCTATATAGATTCCCCTAAATTTTAAGGCATACATACAATATACTTATAACACAAGTGTTTTATTCAAGATAAATGACTAAAAAGAGGACAATTTTGTATTTCTGGTTGAGATTACAGCCACCCTGAGCAGCAGTGCGAAAGGGCTTGTAAGAGTAGGAAAAAAATCACTACTCAAAATACAGTTTGCCCAGTTACTTGTTGTAAGTAGATTTTGCCATACAGTAATTGATTAAAATAAGTGACTTGATGGTTCTTAAAATATGATAGATAAATCAATACAATTTTGACAAATAAATCTTATAAGAATCATAAAAAAACTACAGTACATTATACTGTTTGTAAATTTCTCAAATTTCTTTATGGCCCAGTCCTCTGAATGAATAATACAGTAAATAATAAACCTGTGTCCTCTGGTACTACTGCAGCAACATAATGCAATAACCAGCATATACTGTACTGCAATAGTCATCAAGTACTGTACATTTGTAACTGGAAACATAGTGAGACTAAACTGAGCCAACAAATTTGTTTGCAATTTTGAATACTGTGCAGTACTAGTAATAATGAGAGAGTGGGTAAGTGCTAGCTAAGTTTTTCTTAATATTTTTGCAAGCCTTTTCCCATTACATCAGGGTGTAACTGGAAACCAGAGCAGAAACAATTTTCTTTACACTCACCTTCACCCATTTATTACAACTGCAGCCACATCCTCACACACCATTCAATCAGATCATTCATGAACTCGGCTGCTCCTCAACTTTCTGTCTACCTTACTTCTAGTCCTTCCATCCCGTTGGCCTTCCCCTTCCCCTCTACATACCATATACACTTTTTATCAATCTTTCATTTGCTATTCTCTTAAACATTCATACCACCCCACTAAACCTTGGTTAGCTGTTTGAAACTACTTTGACCACATTTCCTTTTTTTTGTACTGTAATATTCACCCTACAGTACAATTTGCTCTCAAGTAAGTTATTTCTGAGTTCAGGCACTATGAAGTTGGCTTTAAGATTTTTAAGATCTGGGCATCCCAATTTTTGGCTCCTTGTTATGGTACTATATACTGTATACAGGTATCCCTCATTTAACATTAATTAGATTTAGCAATAAGCATGACACATTGGGAAAGAGGAAAAACTAGGGAAGGGGTGGCCTGTAAAATGGCTATGCATGATGCCACTATTACATGTAATGAAACTATAAAAGTTGTGGAAAAATCATTACAATACTCTATTGGTTTTTTTTTTTATGGTGATTAGCCCACCCAGGCACAGGTCAATGACCCACATCAGGGCCTGGGGGTGAAAATATAATAATAATAATAACAATAATAATAATAATAATAATAATAATAATAATAATAATAATAATAATAATAATAATAACAATGTTAATAATAATATTAATTATAATTAATAATACAAGGGGTAATTAATAAAAAAAATATTAGCTAAAAATATAATAATAATAATAATAAAAACAATATAATTATAATAATAATACTGTACAGTAAAAGTCCAAAAATCCGGACCTTTCAAAAACTCAAACTTTTTTTTTTTAGTTGGCTTTTGTGTACCGGTATGTGCGCATGCGTGAGTGCCACAGCTGCACAGTGACAACAAGTGACCATGCGGTCGCCACTTTAAAACGAGCAATCAAACTGTGACAACGTATGTAATTTTGAGTCCAACTCTTTCCATTTACAGAGTACTGTACAGGCCCATAATAATGGCTCCTAAAGTAGATAAACTTCGTTGGGTGAAAAGAAAGAAGAACACGTTGAAATTGAGTGACAAATTTGAAATAATTAAGAAACTAGAACGTGGTGTGAGCAATACAGTGGGGTATGCTATAACGAACGGATCCTACTACGAATATTCCTATAACGAACGGTTTTACCTATAAAATTGAGAATGCTATAACGAACGAAACTCCTACAACGAACATTATTTAAAAATTTTTTTTTTTTTTTTTTTACTAATTTATTGTTTTTGTATTACAAGTATTAATGATATTCTTTATTTCAGGGGTTTAGATGCATATTTATGCACTTTTTTACAATTTTTACAATTTTATATTATATTTTTCAGTGTTAAGTGGTTGTATTTGGGGGCCTGGAACGGATTAATCCTATAACGAAGGAATGCTATAACGAACAAGGTTCTAGAACCAATTAGATTCGTTATAGCATACCCCACTGTACTGTTCTAATGGAAACATACGACATATGAAAGTCTACAATTTATGATATAAAAAAGGCAAAGAATAAAATTCTAGAATTCACAGCTTTTTCTTTAAAACTGCTCGTTTTGATAAATGAAGCATGCTATATTTGCTAACGAATAAACTATCAAAATGTACCTGTTCATCTCTTCTTTATTCCCCCTTAAATTTAAATTTTAAAAGCACTGCCTGAGAATCCGGAAAATCCGAAAATCTGGACCGACCCAATCCCCAAGCAGTCCGGATTTTTGGACTTCTACTGTACTAATGATAATTAAATTAATACAGTAACAATAAAGGACCCACCCCCCAAAAAAAAATCAAGAGTGAGAAACAATATACTGTACAGTATGTATGTTGCATTGTCAAAGTAAGAGAAACAATTGAGACCCTGCAATTGTGTGTAAATGATGCAGAAAGTCAGATCAGCAACCTGGGACTTGGTCAAAATTTTTGTGATGCCATATGGCAGCAGGGTCTACCATTAGACAACACATTAAACTTCCAAGGCAGTAGTACTTCCCTGTTTGATACCTGCCTACTACCTACAATGTGGCTTAGAAAGAAAGAAAGTTTAATATAAAACTATAAAATAAGAAAAATTAAGAGCAGGTGTGTGTATAAGTGGGAGATGAATAAATGTGTAGAGGTGGTGGGCTGCTACCGAGTTGCCAGCCCAACTGCACTCCCTCCCCTGATATAACATCATGGCATACATACAGTGCAGTATGGCAGCAGCCACACACGTCTCTGAGTCATCTGGGTGACTGCCTGGCTGAACTGTGTCATGTCACCCAGAGGATGATTCGAGTGTGGAAGGAGCTATTTTTGTACACAAAATATGTGCTATTGTATTTTACGATGTTATAATTTTATTGTTTATCCTAGCAATTTTTTTAATTTTTGATGTGTGCAATTTAACATTTGTTTGAATAAGGCTCACCTTGTGCTCACTAAATCATTTAACTCTGAACCACATCGTTTATATAGAATTTTTTATTTAATAAAATAATCGTTTAACTTTGAAGCCGTTTATACCGAACTAGTCTAAAGTAAGGAGTACTGTACACCCTACCATTAGACCCTGTTGTTCGCCCTCTGTTCTTCACTGTTATCCCTCATTTAGCAATAATTTTGCATAACATTAAATTTTTCAGGAACACAACTTCACTGTTAAAAGATGGCATCTGCATACAGTACACATAGACTGTACTGTACTGGTCCAAATTATAGGGTGAAAATTTCAAAGTTGTCTGAACCAAGAGAGCACATGGAGCCCTCGTTGCACTTCATGTACACTAGTGAAGCTTTGTATAAAATTTGAAGAAAATTGGATGATGTTTAGGGATCCTGCAAAACGGTTGCTTTGATTACACAATTCAACTCGACCATCGCCAAGGATGAGACCCAGTACCTCCTGATTGTAGCTCAGCACAGGAAGGATGTACCCTCCATGTCAAAGGCTGTCTTCCGGAAATAAACTTAGAATCTACAGACAACGATGCCTTTCCTTTTCCGTGAGCTTCTTTAAGATAATTGTAAATTTTTTGTGATGAACGGGAAGTTGGAGTTTTGCGGGACCCCTGAATATTGCGATAAGGAACTGAAATTTTGCCTGAAGACATGTTTGGGGTAAAGGTATTAGGGCTACATGTGTCTAAATTAAAATTACAACTTTTAATTTTTGGACCACCCTACGATAAGTGTACAGTATTACCTCTATCAAAATAATTGGAGAGTAGCCAGTTCAGTATCGAGGTGTTTTTTGTTTGTATAATATGAAATTGAAAAAGTAGGGTATTTTTAGCCTGGATAAATTGTCAAAACACTGGATTTTTATGTTACATAAAATATAATTTGGTAACACAAGATAAAAACGTCATACAGCTTACCATGAGTGTGTTTTAAAAAGGTAAATAGTTTATGTTAATTTCTATAATATCTGAGATAGGAGAATGAGTGCGAGTCCGACCTAGGTTTGAATAAATAAAAATAAAAACAAAACACAAAGAAAGCTAATTGAATCCAACGCGCATGCATTGCCATTTTTCATATTTCAACCGATGAGAACAAAGTACGTACACAACTCACATAACACACGTGGCCAGTCAGCTGTGGCTTCTGAGATGAATATGCATGTTGCCATTTTCACTTGTATAAAATGAAACTATAAAAGTTGTGGAAAACTTCATTTCAATACTTTAAAGTGATTTAAAAATGAAGAAAATATAATAGAAAATTATACAACACAAAACACGAGAAGCACTGAGTTTATTCTGTGTGCGAGGTGATTGTATGTGTAGAGTCAGTGGGTGGTTGTCAAGAGCACATCTGGCAACTTATTTTGTTAGGTCTAATTCATTTAAACTCATGCAGCTCACACACACCTCTGCTGTAAGTATACTTTAACCTCTTTGCCACTGACAGTCAAGTTAAATTTAAGCTAAGCTTCAAATTACTACCCTCTGTTATAACACCTGTAAGAGTTGTTCTGCCTCTGTATGTTTCATTAACTTAAATTTTAAAGGTTTAATAGATAAATATAAAATGAAGAGTCGATACGCTGATGAAAAATATAGTCAATATATGTCAACACGAGCAAGCTTTGTTTACCCATCATGTGAATACTGTGCTTGTATCATGTGTTACCCTCAACATATTATGGATGGACAACAATGCATTGCATCTTGTAAAAATATTACTTATGTAATTAACAGTAATAATTAGTTGAGCATGTAAATAATGAATTGTTTTTGGAAAAATGTAAGATAACTAACAATTAAAAATAAACTTAAAGTTATGATGATGTGCAATTACAATGAGACCAATGATGAATGAGACTTACTTGACCTTGACTACATATCCACTTAAAATCCAAATCATATCCACTAAATATCCACATCAAAATTACCACAGATCCACTTCATTTCCACTATACACTCACATAGTCCTTGAGGTTTATATAATAATCATAAGTTTTATAATTTTGTATGAAGTCAGGGGGGGAGGTTACTTTAATTTTTGGATATCCAAGTACAGTACTACCAAATCATACTGGCTACATGAAAACAAAACACATCAATCTCTTCAAAATATTGTTTACTGCACATTACAATACTTGTTCATAATATTAATAACATACGGTATATGAAAAAAAATGGGGGGGGGGACATTTTTTTTTTCATTTTCCCTTCAGCTGTTCACAATTTACTGCAAAAATATTGTAGCAAAAAATCACATTGTATCATTGGAAACCTTGTAATTTTCCGCATCTAATGGTATACGGTACAGGCAGTCCATGACTTACAACAGGGATACGTTCCTGGACCCAGACCGTAAGTCGATTTGTTCATAAGTCAGAACAGTGTTAATGCCATAGTTTAGGTTAGGTTGGTTAAAGCACAACCCTGTCCATACAAAAAAACAATAATATCCCATACATAACAAATAATGTAAATAATGTAAATAAAGTGATGTTACACAATACAGAATAATGAAAATAATGTAAAAACTGGGATTTTAATTACAAATTTTTGTGAAGAATGTATTGGGATCCTGTTCGTAAGTGCGGGTGATTGCAAGTCGGATGGTCGTAACTCGGGGACTGCCTGTATAGCATACAGTTTTGGTCCAGGGAAATTTTTGACCTAGGATATGGGATAAGAAGTTTTTGGATTTTAGTTTTGCATTCAGAGTAAAGACTCAGCGTTTTATAGTTGTTTTTATCATTTTTTTCCATTTAAATGAAAGCCCAAGCTATCTTAAAGCCAATAGTGTCACATTGATGCAAAAATAACAATTCCTTGGTCTAAATACTGGCACTTGGGGGAGGGATGTGAGTAATTTTTCCATACATAAAGGGCACAAGACAACACGGGGGAAGGAAAACTTAGGGTTCAGTATATAGTGAATTTGTTCAGTACAGAGGTAATTCTGGTATTGAGGTAATAATGTGTGTATGTGATTAAATCTGTAATATTTGTTTTTTTCCATTTTTAAATGTCAATTCAATGCACAAATATTTTAAGTTGATAGACTGGTACAAATTTTAAAGATAGAGACCAACTCGCAGACTAATATACTGTACTTTAAATGTGGATCAACTTTTAATTATAATTTAGGTATCATATTCTGCCTGCATCAGAATTCCATGAAGACCAAATCATAGGTATGCAATTTCAAAAGGTGCCAAAAAATTAAACACACACACACACACACACACACACACACACACACAGTTGCCAATTTTAGTACTGTACTTTAAAACTATGTTTCAAGCTCTCAACCATTAGCCTGCTAACACTTAATGATTAAAAATTCATTCAAATTTATTCCATAACACACAACACAGGAAGGAGCTTACTCACCTGTGTCTGTGGTCGGAGATTACTTGTGGGAAGGGGCAGTCTGAGCACTGGTCTTCCCCCTGCTCCAGTTGTAATCATTGATCCCTGCAGACCTTTCAAGCCTTGTAAGCGCTGAAGCAAAGCTGCTGCTGCACTGCCACTAACACCTTGAGATAAGGTAGGATTTGTTGGCTTCTGTATAGGTGCTGTGGTGAGTAACAGCTGGCCAGTTGATGTCTGAAGAAGCTGTAATCCCCCCAAAGCAGAGGTTCCTGTTGCAGGTGTTCCAGCCAATGCTGTTGCACCACCAGGAGTACCTAGGCTTGCTCGTTGTGGCATCACCAGACGTGGCCCCTGTGGAGTCTGTTGCACAATTAATCCCCCTCCACCAGCTGCACTTACTGGCACTTGGATGGCTTTTATTGTTCCTCCTTGTTGAACCAATTGTAACCGCATTCCTCCACTATGCAAATTGGTTGTGGTGGAGGCCAAGGTTGGCATTTGTGGCAAGGGAGCACGTAGAGTTCCAGCCGGTGTTGGTGCTCTTGGAGTGCTCACTGGTGATATGCCAGTTTTAGGCACACTTTGACTAGATGGCCGCACATGAAGCTTGATCTTTCCTGCAGGGCATTTTGGAGGTGGATCTGGAGCAGAATCAATTTCCTCAATGAGACGGCGAGGGGCCTGGAATTTACGGATGCGATGAGCGGCAAAGGCTGTCAAGCACAACTCCAGGTCGGCCAAAAGGAAATTGAGGCTGAAGAGATCAACATGTCTAAATGGGTTATAATCTGTGAGGCCCCAAAGAATAGATGGCACCCGGTAACAGATGCCATCCATCATAAATGGTGACACAGTAGGACGAGGTTCAAACAGATTCGGATGATTGCAAACTTTTCGCAGTTGCATTAACACATTTATCACACTTAAGAAGTTACCTGATGCCAAAGTCTCTTTAGTTTTTGATCTCGCCATAAATTCCTCATAGAGATAACGTTGCCTCTTTGATAATCTACACATTACTACATGTTCAAACTTTTTAGGCATTTGTTGCTCCACCTCAGTTTTCAGTCTTCTTAATATGAACGGTCTTAATACCTGAAATTAAAACGTGTTATTTAATAATTATGAAGTACAGGTACAAGCATTTTTTATAAACATAGTGACATTAATTAAAAATATAAAAATATACCTTTTCATGTGTGTACGTATTTCACTGATAAAATAATGTGATCAATAGACAACTTTATTATAGCATGATGGACAAAGACTGAATTTTGTTTACGTCATTAGTGACTAGGTCACAACAAGTCAAAATGGCATCCCGTGAGGTTCCCTAGGCAATAATAGGTGCTCACACTGACATGCTGATGTGAACAGGGCCATCAAAGCCACCTTTACCTATTTTACTATTTATATAACCACAGGTCCACAACATATCATAAGAAAAGAAAGTGTTACTTTGCTCACATCAGGCATATATATGACAAACCATAAAGCTGGTGTACGGTTGGGATCAAAGGTCGAGGTCAAAATATTGATAAAGACACTACCCAGTCTAAGTTGGTACTTTACCTTGTGTAGTCTCTTGATGATGGTGTCATTATATTCCTTGTTCCCCTCGATCATGCCGGTTACTGGATTGGAAAACCATTCACGAAACTCTCGATGTGAGGCAAACACATTAGGCATCAGGAAGTGCATCAACGACCACAGCTCCATTAAGTTGTTTTGAAGTGGAGTGCCCGTGAGCAGTAAGCGTCTGTCCAAGAGGATAAATATAATTATAGATTATTATTCAAAAGTTAAAATAAATAGTGAATCATTAAAACTTGCCATAGGCACTTGCAGAATGATATATACAAACATAAAAGACTTTCAAACCTAATTAAATAAAATTATGCTCTTGAAGTACATGTAGGTTGTACTTTACAATAACCACAAGGACATTTGTTTACAACTGGAGGGTGGTGCTCAACTCCCCAACATTTTGCTAATTTAGGTAAAAGGCTCAAAGAGGATAGGAAACAGCTGGAGAAGAAAAGGGCTGTGGTTAGTGGAAAAATAGGGGGACTTCAATGTTTAAAGTTAAAATATGTACCATATAAACTGATCTGATATAGAGTTAGACCCTAATTCTTTTATTGGTGAAAAAGCCTCAGTTTTCCATATATCTCTTGTATAATTTGACCCAAGCTTTTGAGAAATACTGTACAAGGTATAAACCTTGACATATTTTTTAACAACACCTCAGATTCACACCAACGTGTCATGGCCGTGACCACCACAACAGCTGACCCTATGAACAGTGTTACCAACTCTGAAAATGAATTTCCACAAGTTACCAACTCCTATGAGGAATAAGGTAAAATGATATACAGTACGTATATGAAGTGCCGATCGTGACATGGTGCCAAGCACCAATCCCCCCCCCCCTCAAAAAAATTGAGTTATAGTATTCTCTGTACTCCCCAACCTTTCTTCTATCAAACAAACTGTCCCAGTAGTGCAACATTTGTAAGGCTGAGAGTCATATTAGTGAAGGTAGGTAAAAGTGCCTCTACAGCACGTGATCTGTGCCCCCAATCATAGCCTATCTAGCTCATAGCGACTCATGATTTTCCAGTTTCTTAGCTAATGGGAGTCCACGTTTCTACAAAAATGTCATAGGAATGATATGTAATAACGCTTTAACTTTTTTTTTCAACTGGCAGAAAAGAGGGAGTAAGGGCCATTGAGAGAAAAATAAACAAAACAGAGAGGAGGGAGGGTAAGGAGGGTGGGCACGTGACGAGTATGTTCCTGTCCGAGTGACAAGTCTTATCGCAAACAATAGGGGGGAAATAGAGGGAGGAGGAAGCAGCTGGGACCGAGGGTGGGTGATGCGTGTTAGTAAGAGGCTTATAACACCAAGTGAGGGAAGTGCCGTTCTGTTCTTCATGCATTATTCCTTCATCTTCCAATAATGTGTCCATTGTAATAAAACAGTGTTTGTAATTTACACTGTGTTTACCCTTTCCCTGTTACTATTTAAGGTTTTACAATCAACATGTGGATTAGCCAAAAATATAATACAGGGTATTACAGTCAGTCCTCGACTTACGACGGGGTTAGGGACCGACGACCAAGCTGTAAGTAAAAAATGCGAAAATAATACATAAAAATCTAAAATGGGTGTCTCTTTTTCTTCTCAGCACCACGAGAACTCTCACTTTTATGCTTGCCAGCCATTTTAAAGGGAATTACAAACAAAAATTTTGTCAGTACACAGAGCTATCACTAATGTCGGGACTCGAAAATACATAATTTGAAAAATATTTTATACGACTGCAGCGGTCATATGTCCGGGTGGTCGTAAGTCGAGGAGTACCTGTACTGATAAGGATCAAAACTGATTTTTTACATGTGTTGTCATCAGAAGATGACTAATAATTTCAGCCATCTTCTGATGACAAACACAATGATTTGGGTATTTTTATAGTAGTTCACACAACTTTTCTACCCCAAATCTATTATCATATTCGAAAAAAACGTCTAATTTTAAGATAATTTTCATCTATTACATTACCGTTGGAAACGTATAATAAGAGAGATAGCACATGCCAAATGTTTCTCTATTTAATTCCATTAATCTTCAGCCATTATCGCCTACCCGACCTCCCACTCAGAGTGTTCCCTTCATAAATCGTCATACGCATGCGTTCCCGTACACATCACGCGGCCAATCAAAAGTGTTCTTTTTTTTCCCACCAATTAAAAATATTGTGGTTTCTGCTTTTAGAATTTGCGGTATTTTTTGCCGAATCAGATTCGATTGTGATTTTGGGTCTCTCATGCTTCAAAATTCAAATTCATTTCCGACCATGGAAGTCTGTGATGGGTATCACTTCAATTATAAGGAGTTAATTGTGCATTTTGCGGAAAAAAAAACAACTAACAAGCAATAGCATTTTTTAGATCTCATAGTGTTCTTCCGACCTCAGTAAAGAATCTAATTCGGAATAAAGCAAGAAATAGCAGTGATTCCCTCATATGGTAAGAGTCTGGTTTTGTAAAAATACTGTGAGAGTTAGGTTAGGTCAGGTGAGGTGAGGTTAGGTTAGGTCATCCCAAAAAAGGTTAAGTTTATGTTTTTTTTATGTATTTTGTATTCACCATTTTGTTGGGGGTAGAAGGGGGCAATAACTAAAAAACAGGCAATTTCCGACAGAAATCAAGGTCAGAACCAATCAAAATACACAAAAGTTCTGACTTTCTAACAGAGTTGTGTGAACTACTATAAACTTACCATGACTTGTATTACTAATAATTACAATTGGTAATACAGGTACAAGTAATTGTTCACTGTAATTTTTCTAATAATAATTAAGACTAAAGTACAGTACAACCTCGATTAACCAATCAATCCCAAACCTAAAAAAAAAAAAAAAATATATATATATATATATATATATATATATATATATATATATATATATATATATATATATATATATATATATATATATATATATATATATATATATATATATATATATATATATATATATATATATATATATATATATATATATAACATAGGCCTGATATAATGTAATAATATTAATAATGATAATGATAAAATAATAATATTAATAAAGGACACAAAAATGCAAAAAAAAAAAAAATCAAGAGCGAGAAACAATATATGTATGTTGTGATGTCAATAGTAAGAGAAACAATTGAGACCCTGCATTGTGTGTAAATGAGGCAGAAAGTCAGATGATACGAGGTTAAGGAATTTGCACTTTATATTCGCTACATGAACGATATTGTTCGATGACACGAGAAGCGAGTATGGCAGTTGACCCAGCCGAGTAGGCGGAACAATCAGTGACGTGGTCTGTGACATCTCTTGTGACGTAAATGTGCAGAGACGTGTTTGTGAGCCACTCAGCCAGACAGCACAGCCCTCCCCTACCTCCCTACCGTCCTCCCCCCATCCGCCCTCTCCCTTCTTGCAGTGTTTGTATCTGCTATCCCAGTTTGTCAGCCGATACTGAATCGAATTTATTTACTGTCATCGCTATACAGTAGACCCTTGTCATTCGCGAAGGATAGGTTCCAAGAAAAGGAGTGAATTGGCAAAATCGTGAATAGCAACTAATACTACCTTAGTGCACTACTGTATACCTATACCAAATAACTGACCAGCCACGGCAGCACTCATCCCCGCTGTTAACTTATCTAATAATAAACTTTCTTTGTCAGGGTCATCACTGACTTCTGCCTTTTACATTTCACTCCACTAGCATCACTATCACTGACACTAGGCAGTCTTTTAGGGACCATTTCACACAGAAACACTAAAGTTTTGAGAGTGCCAACACAAGATGCTGCATTGGGTGATTCGTAGTACTGCGGGAAAAGGCTTGCAAGCTAGCCACCATAGCCACCACCTGCTTACAGCGAATCGCAAGGGTCTACTGTACTGTACTGTGCTGTGCTGCCTAAGTATTACCCTGCCATACTTTGGAATTTGCTCATTGTTTTAAAGGCATCCCAATCCTAGTGTAGTGGTACAGTCATGCCTCCTAAACATTCAACAAGTTCAACCACCACTCCAGTTTCTAAGTGTGCACGTATTCCTATTCTTTTCTCGAAAAAGAAAGAGATAATTGATATGCATAAGCGAAGTGAACGGGTATGCAATATTTGCCGTGTCTTTGGATTGTCGTCATCCACGGTGTGTACACTCATGAAAAATGTTGACAAGATCACAGAAATGATTGGTAGTAGTGTGCCCAGTGCAAGTGTGCAGGCTATTCATGATTGTGTTATGGAGAAGATGGAGAGGTTTAACACGAGTGCCTTTGTACCAGTTCAATAATTATATACAGTATTATCTTTCTATGGTTGTGCATATGTACCTATCCTAGTTAGAAAAAAATAATACGTCAGTGTTGTCGGTGCTCGGGAACGCATCCCTATTAACCCATGTATTATTCCCTACGTTATACGAGTTTCCGCTATATGATCAGACTCCAAGGAAAGTATCTACACGTATCATCGAGATCTTACTGTACTGTGTTTTATTTAGAGATTAATTGAGGCTTCACTAATAACTTTGTTATTATCTGATGAATTAAGATTTTGTCACAAAAACAATTTGAATTGGCCCATATATCAGTTTAACGTTTCATTCAACAAATGGATGATTAAAAATGTCAAATCAATATCCTTAAGCATATACAAAAACAATTAGGCACAGTTTATCAAATTTTAGTTTCTTGAGATAGAACGACCAACTGTACCTTTGGCTTTGAAAGTTGAGCAGTAACTGCCAACGTTGAGATTTGAAGTTTTTGATATTTTGAGCTTCATCAAGGATGAAATACTTCCACTTCTTCCTTCTAAAGCTCTGGTGGTCCTGGATCACCAGCTTGTACGATGTGATACAAATATGGAATGCATTTGGCTTTGTCCAACCTGGAAAATATTATATATATTTATATATTAGTTTATATTGCCATACTTTTCACTATCCACTATTCATTGTATTAGTATATGGTAATGAAAATTACAAGTTGTACTGTTTAACAATAAAAAAAGAGAGAGACTCACCCTGTCTTTTCATCTTTCTTTCCTTCTGAGTGCCATAGTAAGTGAGTATCTTGAAGGCTGGGCACCACTTTTTGAACTCCATCTCCCAGTTGAGCATGACGGAGGTTGGCACCACAATTAGGTGAGGTCCCCAGTTGCTCTTCTCACACGCAAGATGTGCCAGAAGTGAGATTGTCTGAATGGTCTTTCCTAAACCCATCTCATCAGCGAGGATACCTATCAAAACCCATACAAAATATATATAAACTTAAGTCTGGATATTTCTAATTGGAGAAAGAGCCTGTTTCTGCTAATGCCAGGATTTAATTAAGCATAATAGTAAGGCCATTACCTTGTTAAGTTTCACACAAGTTGAACTTCCCTAATCTGGATTTACTTGAACTGGAAGCTCCTGATGTCGGGATACTTTTAGGAAATAATGTAATGTATGAAACTGAACACCAAAATTTTCTCCTGCATTCATTAATGTGGTGCATGGGTGATGTTGCTCTAGCAAGAGTGTAAAGTTTCACCAGAAAATGAAGTCCACATATAGGTGTTCAGAAAATTTTGTAAGATACAAAAACTCATTACACTGTACAGTAACACACTTCAATAAATGAATATGATTAAAGAAATCAGGGTTTTATGATGTTAGAAGAACAAAATGGTGATGCTCATAGCAATTTTGTGACCATTTGAAACTCATATTATTATGAGATATTAATTTCTCAATCTATAATAGAGTATTTAGAAGGTAACAAACAACTTTTCTTCTACTATATAAACATTAAATGCCATAGTTAATGAGCACAAGGAAGATAAACCATTATTGAACACTGTCGTGAAGTTCTCTCAGGAATTTTTACTTTAATTTGTATGTAAACTCTTATAAGCTGATCAGGTCCCCAGGTTGTTACAGCAGAGGTTCAATCTGTATGATATTACTGTACAATACTTACAAAGACCTACACCATTTGAAAAGTCACAGTCCTAAGCTGACTCACTATTGAGGATGATTTATATTTCACTCAGTTCCCTATTTTATCATAGCAAAAATATAATTAAATACTAGGGTATTGTACAGTCCTACAAAAATGAGATAACCATTATGCCATAACTCTCCAAAGAAAGATGAAAAATTATAATTATCAAACACCAAGATATTTACGGCATGAAGTCACACCAAATTTCACTTAAATATGTGAAGCTTAAGTGAGTGGATATGATATTCAATAATGGGATAGATGAAGTAGCACTACAACCACCTTAAGTAAAAATGGGTAAATGCAAACTACAAATCACTGTTTGGTCACATAAGGGTAAAAATGATGCACATTTAGCAAATTCCCTACTAATTTCTCTTTTGAAAGGCAAATCTACTAATTATAGGAATTCTGAATAGCTATACACACTGTATGTGGTCTTCTATGGATATTTATCTAAATCTGGAGGATACACAGCAGATAAGTACCTACGGTAATCTAAGCCTGCTATTGCAGAAACTGCAAATTATGTATATCAAATGACCCTCTGCTGATATTAACTTCCAAAGGAACGTATACAGATCATGTGAATAAAAAAAATATATCTATTTAAAACCATAAGTAATCTTTAGGAAAAAAATAAAAATATAAATAAAAACCCTACCAGTATGAGTTATGACAAAGCAGTACTATAATACCCCTCTGACCTTGGCAGAGAAAGCTAATAAAAATACACCAAACAAATTACCATTCAATTTCTTTTCATACATGGTGGTGAGCCAGTCCAAGCCTACATGCTGGTACTCTCTCAACATATGCTTGAGCAAGATGGGAATAGGTGTAGTCACAGATGTAGAAGAGAGTGTAAACCCCTTAGGTTGTAACGCTTCAGCAACAGCGGAGGCATCCTGTAGCTCCTTGTCTGCTTTCTCACTGTCAACCTTGGAATCCTTCTCAAGATTTTCTTTCATCAGAGTCTCCAAACCAAGACTCTGATCCTCTTCCTCCTCCTCTTCCTCCTCCTCCTCCTCCTCACTAGGCAACTCTTCATTGCTGCCCTCATCATCCTTCTCAGATTCCTGTTTGCCTTCCTCCTCTTGCTCCTCAACATCCATTTCTTCATCACCGATGGCATCATCATCGTCTTCGCTACTGTCATCTTCAGAATCATCATCTTCCATAGGCTCTGCACTAGCAGCCAATTCTGCATACTTTTTTCTCAACTCTTCAACAGAAAGTTCATTTTCAGTCTGAAAAAAGTAAGAAACATATGTAATCAATAAGACATAAATTTATTTTACATTGGTTGTTAAGCAGAGTGGAAACAAATAGAGCAAGTGATACATAAGAATGTGAAAAAAATCTTTCATACTTAAATTCTATGTAAAGTTACAAACCGTTTAAGATACAGCTTTTACTTCTAACTTTCCTGCTCCCAAATGTCTATCCCTTCAATATATGGAACTCTACTGTATAGGGTTCTTACAGTTTAGGTACAATACTGAAGTTTCATGTTCCAGATCATTTACATTTTCTTTTAAGTCCCTTGAGGCACTTCTCAAGACCTCAAATCCACAGCCAGCAAAGTATCATCATCACATTTAAAGATGAAAGACCCAGGTTGAGAATTATCCTCAAGTTGAGAAGAATGAATTTCAAATACTTTTACAAGCCAATTGCTCAAGTCCAAACCCTGCTGCAGCACCTATAATAATCTAAAAATCTATTTTTTTTCTGACTGTATTCAAATCTTAAAAAAAAATCAAGATCTATTCCCAACTAGTAACATAAAACCTAAAATTAGTTTTTTGGTCTTCTTCCCCTTCCAATTTTACTCTGATGACAAATAGTGTGATGAAAATCAAACTAACATCCTGAACCCCTTTAACCCTAAGGCCCCGGGTGACGCTCCAGAACGTCTGCCTATTTTCCCGCCATTTTTTTTTATACATTTTTTTTATTATTATTTTTGGAAAAGTTTCTTTTTTTCTTGATTTATCCCCGCATGGAGAGGGGGGGGGGGGTGTAGTACTGTCAGCAGCACCCTAACCCGGAGCTTAAGGGTTAAAAGCATTCTAGCTGTTACCGTACTGTTTACCTGCCATGCACCATCAAGGTAAGATAAATGGGATCATTATCATCCTTATTAATAGCATCTTACATCCACCCTTGTTCCTTTCCCTAGATTCAGGTAAACTTCAAATTCAAGTGAAGGGCAATAAAAAAAAAAAATATAATAATAATAATACAGTAATAGTAAATTATCAGCATCCCTCCCATTGCTCCCCGGGCTAACAACATGTGCCTTGCCTTCCCCGAGAAACACAACCAATTTGATGAAGATTAAGTGGTTGAGAGCCCTGAATGAGGAATATTGAAAGGATAAGCTGAATGTTGTCATGCCAGGTAGCACCCCTCGTTTCGTCTATGTAGACCGAGAGGAGACGGATGCTATCCAACGCTTCATTGATGGAAAGGTCGGCTCACTACATCTCATTACGTGAGATGAACCTGTCCGACCCCCCAAAAATGAAGGAATACCTTGTCACCCACTTCCCCAAGGGTATTTCCCCCAGTGGCGCTCTGTCACTTCCGGGCGTCCACAGAGCAAGAAGACTTTATAAGGATGGTGCATAACTTAGTAGGACCATCACTGTTTGGAAGAGGAAGGAACCACCTCCTGAGGAATACTGCTTCTTCGGCAAGTACGGTACCCCTAGTAACATCAGTCGGTGGACCAGTGAACAATGGCAGTGATAAATGCCAGTGGAATTTCTGAAGGAGCTGGTGCCTCCTCTCATAATGATGCCAACTTGAGGGTGAGTAGCCAGAGCGAGACCGATAATGATGGAAGCATGAATGGGGAGAATGAGCCCCAGACTGCCAGCATGGTCTCTTTAATAACCCCAGGTCTGAAAACTGTCCATAACCCTGTACTTCTTCCAATATTTTCGGAGGAGGAACTTATGAAGGAACCTGTGTATAAAACTCCTACTGGAATAAGGGCCGTGAGGCGCATTATTAAGAACTCCGGCGGTGATGAATTTGAAACGGTTAACTTATTGGTCAGGTTGATCTATGAAGCCAACGCGCGACTCTCTATACTCAGTTCAAGGTGGAACGAGTAACACGAACGCTTAGGTTCATTTCATGGAATATCCAGAGTGTTAACCACAGAATTAAGTGGCCTGCTCACTTATGTAAAGAATGGTCTGGTCTGTAAATAGATCAAAACTCACAATGATGAAAGTATTCACTATCAACAATTTACAGTAAAGACAGCAAACAGTCGGTTTTCGCTGTATAACATCTATGTATGGTGTAATGACCTGCGAGTGGACGTGTTACCATATGCTATGCTGTGTATGGGTGACTTTAACTCTCGTCACACTGTCCTCGGTGATGTCCAGTGTAACTCTAATGGGAGGGTGTTCGTGAATTACATCAATAATCATAATATCACTGTATACGACACAGACAAAGTGACACATCCGATGGAGGCAGACTTGATTAAGTGATTGGGTATAACCTAGCAGACAGTAATGTCAAGGCTAAGGTCATCTCAGACCACCTAGTCAGTGATCATTATGCAATACTTACTAAATACACTGTTGCTGATGTCAAGTGTGAACCCCATCCTAAGCTCAGAATTAACATCCCAGATAATCTTAAACTACACTTCAAGGCCTACATCCACAGATGGTATGCTGGATATACACTTGGGTCAGTGGATGAAGTTTGCTGTGATCTTGTAAATGTCATTACCACATATTATACCGCCTGAGTTAAGTCGAGGAGGAAGGGGGCAGCATTAAACCACCTCTGTGGACACATGACCCCATCCTCACCAAAGAAGGAGAGAAGGTAGAACAGCTTGCCAACACTTATAAGCAAAATAAAACTAGTGATAGCCTCCTGGCATTCCTCAAAGCTAACAGAGCATTTCGTGAACTCAAGGTCAGGTGAGAAACACCAATTGGGAACAATTCTTACAGGGGATTAATAGAACAACCACTGTAGCAGAAGTGTGGAACAAAATTAGAGCCATTACCAAGTCACCCGCCCCAGTCCAACTTCATCACAGCCCTGCAGAATATGCTGACATGCTATTAGACCAATGGTCTAGTGTGTCACAAATCACTTCCCTGCCTCCTGACATACAGCAATATTTTAAAACCACACACATTAATAGGGGTTTCAATATTGAAATAGCCTGTTCCTCACCAGACCTTACCGACCAGTTTCCTATAATGCACCACGAACTAACAACAGCACTAATAAAAGGTGAATCATCCTCCCCTGGTGAGGATGGCATAACCTATAACACCCTGAGATTGTTAAATGAGGTCCCTAACCATCCACTGCTTGACCTGTATCAAGTGAGCCTCACACAGGGTATTCCATCTAAGTCATGGACTCATGGAAACATAGTACCAATCCCTAAAGCTAACTTTCCAAACTTCAGGCCCATTTCACTCACATCCTGTATGTGTAAAGTCCGTGAAAGTGTTGTTCTCAACCGTCTCATGTTTCAAGTCAAAGACAAACTGGCCCCTAATCTGTACGGGTTCATGCCCGGGCGCAGCACATAGACATGCTTTGCAGAATATCTTGTCCACCCAAAAGATAAGACACAAACAGCCTTCATAGATCTTAAATCAGCCTTTGATGTAGCTAATACAGACATTATACTTGAGCAATTAGCTAATTTGGGCATCCAAAGTAACATCCTGACATGGATAAGGGGTTATCTGTCAAACAGGTATGCCAGTGTTCTGTTTAGGGGAGTCAAAAGTACCAGAATGAGAGCATTTGAGCTTGGCACACCTCAGGGAGGAGTGTTAAGTCCTATGCTCTTTAATATACTGATGCACAAGCTTACTGCTGACATTCCAGTTCAGCCAAACGAGGCTGTAATATGCTATGCTGTTGATATCTGCATTATGACACAGACCAAGCTCAGGCTCCAAGCCTTGCTGGATGTATTTGCTCAGAGGACTGTGGAATGTGGTCTTATAATATCTGTTGAAAAGACGAGGGTCCTCAATCCTCGTCCTGCTCACCCTCTGCCTCTTGACTTTAACATTAACAGCATGCCCTTGGAACTATGTAGCTCTTATAAATATCTTGGAAATTGTGTGAATGATGCAAACTTTGTCGGCAACCTTCGTGCCAAACTAATGCAGCGCATTAAACCCCTCAGAACCCTTGTTGGCAAGGGCTATGGAATTAACATCACCTATGCTCGTACTTTCTATCTTCACTTCATTCATTCTGTAGTTGACTATCATGCTCTCCATTTTCTGACTATTCTGCCTAAACAACTCAACAGCCTTGATGTAGTGCAAAATGAAGCCATGCACATCATTCAAGGATGCCCAAAATCAACCAGAATTGTAAACATGAGGAAAGAGCTCGGGCTGCCCTCCCTATCTGAGAGGAAAAGCTCTACTTAATACCATGTTTTGTGTTAAAGTTTTGAAGAACAATGGTCCCCAAACTACAGCTCAAACTGAGTTGATGTTCTATCTAAGTAATCCCGACTATCTCGCTAACCTTCCACAAAAGACTCTCTTTGGTGTGTGGCTTCAAAAAGTGTTGCAGATCTCTTGAAACTGAATGTCCCAATCACCCCAGACAAACCCATTAATGACATTCCTCCTTGGCTGGATATATCAGTTCCTATTAATTACACTCCTGTTGGTAGTAAGCAAATGTTAAACACCGATGTGATGAGATGTGCCACACTAGAAACTATTAACAGACACATAGAGAGTACAGTATTAAATCAAGTGAATGTTATGCTTTTACTTATGGTTCTGTGCAGACAAACACAGGTAGAACAGGCTGTGCAATTGTAATATATAAATAAAAAGAGATGATAGTGTCAAACAAGCAAAGACTGAACAATTGGGCTGGCACAACACAAACAGAATTAACTGAAATCTACTTAGCCACAGACTACCTTAAAGAAAATGGAGGTGGGGTTATATTCTGTGACTCTCAAAGTGCTTTGAAATCAATGAACAGCTCGTCAGGTTCTATGCCTAAAGTTGTGTGTGATATTAAAAGAAATGTGATAACTGCCAATGAGAACAACTCTCGTATCGAATTTGTGTGGATTCCGTCCCATGTTGGAATTAGGTATCATGACTGTGCTGATAGACTGGCCAATGAGGCATGTAAGAAAGAAAATGTTGACCATGACCTTGGCCTGTCCAATGCTGTACTTAAAAACATTCAAGTCAGA